CTTGACCTGATCCAGGGAGCAAGGCAGAACAAACATGTGAAGGGAAACCGCTCCCTGTCTTGGCCTGGCTGTCCCCCGGGGCCTCAGCCCTGGCCCATCCCTGGGCAGGCTGAGCACCGCCACCAGCAGGCCGGTGCGCTGACCTAGCTGTCCTTCCTGCATCGCGGGATGCTCTCCATGGAGACTCAGGTGCTAAACTCTTTTTTTTTTTTGAAGATTTACTTATTTATATATACAGAGCTGGCCAGAGGTGCAGGGAGTAAGAGGATTCACCAGAGACAGAGTGGGGCACAGAACCGACAGATTGAATGAAATGCACTGCTGAGGGGAGCAGCAGGCGGGTCAGAGGAGGTCTGCCGCGCCATGTGGGTCAGCTCCCTGATGAGGATTGAACTCATGCTGCAGGGGCTGTAGAGAGCTTCATAGTGCTGCTTCTTTAACCCACTGCACACCAGGGAGGGCCCAACCTTTTTTTTTTTTTTTTTTTGAAGATTTATTTACCTATGCAAACAAGAACTAGGGCACAGGCCAGAGGTGCAGGGGTAAAAGGATTCACCAGAGACACTGGGGGAACAGAATAGGCAGACTGACTGAAATGCACTGCTGAGGGGAGCAGCGGGCAGGCCAGGAGAGGTCTGCTGTGCCATGGGGATCCCCTCCCTGGCCGGGGATGGAACTCATACTGCAGTTGCAGATTGCTTCATAGAGCTGTGCTGTAACCTGCTGCACCAGCAGGGAGGGCCCATCAGTCTCTAAAACCTTTTAACTACCTGTTCCCTCCTCAACCCTAGGAGTAAAGCAGAGAGGACCAAGATAGACAAATCCCAAGGCCTTCTGGGTTTGAAGTGAGAGCCCCCGTACTCCCAGGACTAACGGCTGGAGTCTGAACCTACAGACCAGAGCAGTTAACATACGATAAAAGCTGTGGGATGGCCTGAACACGTTAGAGGCCTGGTCATCCCGATGCCCCTGCCCAGGCACCTCTGCCATCTTTGACAGGGACCAAGGTATAGGCTGTCGGGCCTAGATGTGGCCACAGTGATGACTCTAGACTTCACTGAGGGGAGCCCCAAGCAGCACAGCAAAGGCACAGGGCCCTGACGACTGCTGTCTGCAATGCTCAGGAGCATGACTGTGGCACCAGGGCAGGCTTCCCTGTGGCCTTTCTTACAGCTCTGCCCATCTGCCACTCTCCGTGCAGGCATGCCCATCAAGCACCCTAGTTCTGAGGTCCCTCTACCCCTCCTCCAGGAAAGCCTCCCCCACAGGGTCAGGGTGTTTCCTGGGGTCAAGAGCACCTGTTTCCTGGGGTGCCACACAGTCACTGTGGCCGCTACCAGACAGTGCAGCTCTAAGTGGGATTCAGCAATAAGGGAGGATTTGTAGCACAAAGTGGGGGCAGAAGGGGCCCCTGGGCAAGGAGCCAGCAGGGCAGGGGTGGGCAGCACCTCTTGCAATGCCAAGAGCACCCCAGGCTTTGGCCAGCAGGTGAAGGCCCTTGAGGGTTCAACCAGGTGGGGGTATTGGGATCTGATTGCTCCCCACCCTCTGAGCCCTGGGGGCAGCAGGGGAGGCCCCAAGGTACCGCCCCCAGCCCACCCCAAAGCAAAGAACCACACCGAGCCAACCAAGACCTGGTGCTCAGATTTAGGTCCCTCCCCTCGGCCCAGCAGGTGGCTGAAACTGCAGCTAGGGCTGCCAGTCTCACTGCGTGGCCAGGTGGAGTCCTTCTCCGCTTCTCTGGCCTCAGAGAAGTGCTTAGATTCTAAGGAAATCAGCAAAGAAGGTAGCAGGCCTGGGGCAGGAAGGAAGCCTGGAGCTGAGGCAGCTGCCTGCAGAGAGACTCCGGGGAACGAGGTGGCAGGAGGCAGGCCTCGGAGGAAAAAGGACAAAGGTGGGCCAGTGTCCCCAGGCCCCATCACTGACTCATTCTTTGGGGAAAGCTAGTCAGTGGCAGGGTCTCGGCAGGAACCCGCAAAGAATCAATCACCATAATTAGGGTCATTATTAATCTCTTTCCACGGTGATGCCAGGCTCCTGTTTACCCAACACTGTGTCCCCAGAGATGCCTGATGCCTCTTGCTCTAGAGAAACCTCCCCACAGGCTCACTTCACCCGCCAAGGGTTCTCCAGTGCTGCTGCCCGCTGCCTGCTCTCTGCTTCTCCTGCAGGAAGGGCTGGCACCTCTGGGACACACAGCCCTGAATAGGAGGCTTACGGAGTGTAAAGAAGCCTCCACTGTGGGCCAGGAATGCGGGAAGCTGAGAGAGCTCCCCAGAGAAGCAAACAGGGACCTTCCCTCCAAGGGCGTGACCTTATGCAGCGATGGCGGCTGGGCCCTCAAGAGCGGTGCCTTATAGTCCACAAGGAGCCTCCAATTCGCACATCACCTCAAGGAAGCATCACAGCAACCCCACAGGTAGGGGCCAGATCCTCAGATCCCCAGTTCACAGATGAGGAGACGGCAGCTGGTGGAGCCCAGAATAGGTCCGCTGAGCCATGTCCTCTGGGAAGGCCCTTGGGAACACACCCTCGTATTGGGGACATGTTTGGGGCCACAGGCTGGACAGGAGGCAGGCTTCAGAACCTTGCCCAGGGGCTTGGGTTCCTTTGGCACAGAAAGGGCCTGCCTGAATCTCTCTACGGGTCTGCTTATTCAACGTGGGCTGAGCAACCAGAGATGACCAGGCCTTGCCCAGAGAGCAGAGTTTGGTATCCTAGAACTTGAATCTCTGCTGCAAACGCTCCAAACCTGAGTTAGAGAATCGCCTCACCCACTGCTTCACACAGTCATGGAGTCTGGGCATAGTCCAACCCGGATTGCAGAATTACCCTGGATTTCAGACGGTTAAAGTCTTCCAGGTCGGCATCAAAACAGACCTGGACTCACTGCTTCCAGCCCCCTCACCATGCAGAACCCTGGCCGGCTCTGTACAGCTTCTAGTGTGGTTCCCCGGCAGGGCGGCCTGCTTAGGCTTGCCTCCCAGACGGCCCCTCCCTCCCTGCAGGGCTCAGGGTTTCCTCTTGAAGCGAGGACCCTGTGAAGGCCTTCCTGAGAACCACCTGCTGGCCCCCGCTGCCCGCCCAGCTGGGCCTCAGGGCCAGCCCAGGGCCTGGTGAGAGAAGGCTTCCACCCACCTCTCATCCTGGGTTGCCGCCCACCCGTCCCCTCCCAAGAGCCCAGTGATTCAGTCACAGGGCCCAGGCTGACTTTTTCCAATGCCGCTGCCCGGGTCCCAGGGAAGCGGGGGAGCATCTGAATGGGAGGAGGCGGAAGCTGAGTCTGGCAGAGACTTTGCTGAGCAAACTTGTCTCTGCCCAGTTTTTGCCCCCTGGGGGAATGGAAAGCAAGGATTTATTTTATTTATTTATGTAAAACAGCGGAGTTATTATACAAACAGGCTTCCCAAACAGGCCCTGGGGATGGGAAGAGGAAGATGTCCCGCCATTTAAGGAATCTTCCTCTGGCTTCCTTCCCCTCACACCTACCTGTCTAGCCTCCCCTCCCCCCACCCCTTTCTCAGGCTGTTCTCTGGTGCCTGTGCACCAGCCTTTGCACCTCCATGCCTGTGCTCATGCTGGGTCCTCGGCCAGGAAACCCCACCACGGCCCGCAAACCCCAACCCCAACCCCATCCATCTTAACAGAGGGACCCTGTGCTATACCTGGTCCGACGTCCCCACAGGCTCACTGCCTCCTCCCTTTATGCTCACTGCAGCTGGCAGAGCCCTGGAGACGTGATCACAGGCCTCTGCGGATGATAATCACACCCTTCACTGGCTGCCTTGCCCACCGGGCTGAGAGCTTCCCCGGGCGGAGACTTCTGGCCCACGTGGGCAAGCGTTGCTGAAGGCCACAGTGCGTGTGACCCTGTAACCGGTCGTGGGGGACACGAGACTCCCCGGGCCTGTCCTGCTAGAGTAGTTCCCAAGCAGGGCCTCTGGCCCGGCCTCAGGTCTGGCACCCAGGAGAACCACTTGGCAATCAGAAAAGCTAGCTAAAGTGCAGAGGAAGGGAAGAAGTAACCGGCGAGTGCTTCTTAAACCACACAACTGCAGAGCCGCTTCTGAGCTGGTCCCAATTCTGCTGGTGAATAATAATCAGTTTTCTCCCAAATGACAAAAAAAATCAAGTTACTAAAAAAAGTCTCAGCTGTTTCCTCCCCCAGTTTTTTCTTAGACGTCTGTATCTGCACATCCCTGTTCCTGTCTGGTCTCAGATGAGCTCAGATTTGGTACTGGGAACTGGTTTCAACCCTACCCTTCTGCGCTCCTCCTCACCCGTTAGCGCCTCACCTCCCAGGCCCGGCTGCAAACCTGGGGCTGCACTTTCCTGCCGTCTTTCAAGTCTCTGGGTTTCCTTTCTGTGACCAAAGAAAACTGGCGTCACTCAAATGCTGAGGAAGAAAGTTCCAGAAGTTGGCTGGGATTCCATAAATCAATGCCACCAACTCCACCATTTACCATTCATTCCTTTGGCTTAAGCTTCACTTTCTCTAGGATTTTCTCCTAAAGTACAAATCTTCCCTGGAAATGGAGCCCATTAAATTCCCAAATTGAAGGTCAAGGAAACTCAGCTTAATACTTGGCTCTGGGGAGGCAGTAAATCCCAGGGCCGAGAACGTGCGCTCAGAGTCAGCCTGCCTGGATCTGAAGCCCAGTGGTCTCCTTAACACATTTGTACCTCCTTAGCTAAAAAGTGGGGATAACAATAGCTCCAACTTCACATTGTGAGGATAAAATGAGCTAATATATACCAGGTACCTAGTTAAGTGCCTGGCATATTGCACTAAAAAAGACAACTCTACTCAGAGTTTAAGGGTTTTTTTCTTTTGCCCAGAAAATGGGACCAGGACCATAACCCCTGCCTTTTGTTGCCAAATGGAGGGTCCCCTCTCATCTGAGAGGCGGACATTGTTTTAGAACCAGTGAGCGGCTCTCTGCAGCTTGTCTCCAACGCCTTCTCCCTCCCGCCTATCTTATTTCACTGGAAGAAGGTACCTGTGGCTGTGAGCTGGCCCCAGGGAAGTCCCGTCCACGAGAGGCGATGTCACTTCACCAGGAGAGCTGAAGGAATAGGGGACACACCCGGTCAGATCGCTCTTGCGCCTAGCCCGCCACTACCTGCCACCAGACCCGTAGTGAGAGCCCACCTGTGCTGCTGTGTGAACCAGGGGTGGGGCCCCTCAGTCCCTGTCCTGGAGGGGCCTCCCTGCTGGTGTGCAAGCCAAGGAGCCACACAGGACCCAGTCTTGGGCCCCGAGACCCCACACATGTCATCCCATTCCCAGATGAGCTGCCCGCAAACCAGCCTCACCCCAAGCCCAGTAAACCTGCTCCCCCTCAGGGCCCACAGAAATGTGGTCCTGGCACAGCCACCCTGGGAGAAACCTGGAGTGCCCTTTCCTGCAGCCTGGACCCACTTCTCCACGGTGGCCAAACCAGCTGCTCTTCTGAAGCAGCCACTGAGGGAGGGCTGGGAGCTGGAGGCGGGATCTGGGGTACCGCAATTATGTGGCTGACTCCTGACTCCCACGCCAGCTCCCGCATCACCAGCTCCGGCAGCAGGCAGCCTCGGCTGCAGGAGAAGATGGAAGAGGCTCTAGACCAACTGCAGGCCGCAGCGGGGGATCCCCTCGTTAGGGCTGGCCTCGTCACCCAGGGAGTCAGAGGAGGACCCAGGGCGAGGCCCCAGGCCTTCCAGTACCCTGAGGCTCAGGGCAGTGGTAGCTCAGGCCTGTTCCAACCCAAGGCCACGGCAACGTGAGAAATTTCTCCCTACTCTGTCGGACCCTGGAGCCACACGCCGGCAAGAAGCACGTAGCTGAGACTCAGTATTGGACTGAGAGGGGCACAGCTGGGCTCACAGACAGCTCAGTAAAGGTATCCAGATACTGAGAGAAGTGGACCCCTGGACCACCCCCAACCCTGCCTCCCTCCGCCTCCAGTCCCTCGATTTCCCAGAGCACCCTCAATGCACTTCCCTCTACAGTTTACAAACACACTTATTTCCTGTCTCTCCCATAATGATCTTCAGGCCTAAGTGACATGGGAATAATGTAAATAGAGCAGAGTTTCTCAAATGTCAGTGTGCAAAGAAATCACCTGGAGCTCCTATTAAAATGCAGTCTGACTGGCTGGGACCTAAAAGTCTGCATTTGACAAGCTCCCAGGTGATGTGGATGCTGCAGGTCCCAGGACCACACGGTGTGAGCAGCAGCTTGGGCACCAGGGTCCAACAACTTCAGTTACAATAATGTCTCTTACTGTGTGATTTTGGGCAAGTTTCTTAATCCCTCTGTGCCTCAATCTCTTGATGTACAAAACAACAGCAGCAGCAGCAACATTAATAAAACCTACAACATAGGGTTGGCTTGAGGGTTCACGTCTGTAAAACATTTAGAGTGGTGACTATTATTAAAATGTTTTCGATGAAGGCTCTGAGAGATTGACACAACCCGCAAGGTTTCGAGATTTGCAGAACCACAATTCAAACCCAAATCTTCACGAAAATTCTGCAGTACCAAGCTGCCACAACATGTCACTATCAGCAAGCCTTCCCTACTGAGACAAGCATGAATATGTTGAGCTCAGAGAGAGGGGCACAGAACTGACAGGGTCACCAGAAAGTTGGTGACAGAAATTCAAGACCATGACTCCTAGGTTAATGCTTTTTCCATCAGACCTTGCTGTGCTGCAAGGAAAATTCTAGCTGGGGGGTCTCAGCTCTGCTCTCAGCAGCCGCCACCCTGGAAACCAGCCTGGGGATGAGGGGATGAGTAGATGAGGAGGCTGCCCCATGCCCACCTGGAGCCCTGCCAACCAGGCTGGGCAGGGAGAACCTTCTAGCATCCTCTTCCATCTCCACCCCTGCCTTCTGCCTCTGGCCTGCTCAGACTCAGGGTTACGCAGCTGGGGTCTCAGGCAGAGTCCGGTCTCGGTCTGTCTCCACCTCCACCTTGGCTGCCTAGTGTAGGGCCAGTGGGAGTCTGTGAGTCACTTAAAGGAAGTGCTCAGCCCCAAAAAGGAAGTGGCTCTTTGAGCAGAAACCCCCTTCTTGAAGGATCTTGCCGGGGCCTTGCACGGGTGCTCGGGGTAGGTGAGAGCGATGAAGGAAAGACCGCTCACTGCGACAGAGCAATACCTATTCCGATTTTACCCATCCAGTGTGCTGCGACCCTCACGGGGGCCTTGCTGCTGTGGGACTTAAGCGCATCGTTGCCTCTCGAGGGCTTCAGTTCCCTCAGCTGCAGGGCTGTGGGGTTGCACCACGATCAACCGCTGTGGCCTGGTATCCTATAAGGCAGTGAAGGACTGGGAGAAGTGGGTATAGGTTTTAATGAGTAGATGAAGGAAATGTTCCTAGGTTCAAGCACCTGGCAGCACAAGCACCAGCAGTTAGTAATCTGCCCTTAGGTGCACGGTGGAGATCTCACTGGCAAGGCCGCCCTTCAATCACCCTTAGCTGCAGGGCAGAGCCACTGCCCCGGCACGTCATGACACGTGCTCACTGGTAAACACCCTAGGGGAAGGCATGCAGGGTCCGGTCACATGCCATCCGTCGAACCCACGGTCCTAAACATTGGCCCCCTAATTCCACTGTAACAGGGCGGTCCCCAGGAAAAGGGGAGGCTCCAGGTTTCCTGCCCCATCCAAGGAAGGCAAGGGCTGAGCAGGGAGGAGAAGCTGGAAAGGAGACCAGGGAAGAACAAAGGAAGACAAGAGCAAGGAGGAGAGCAGCAGAGGCAGGTGGAGGAGCTGCGCGAGCTTCCAGGGCCTGGGCTGGCTGAAACAGATGCCGGCGAGAGACCCGTGGGGAGGGCTGGGGAGGGCAACAATGGCAGTGCTCCTCTGCCCCTTCCTGTGGGTCCCCCCGAGAAGATGCCTTAGACTTGTGGCAGGCTTTTGGGCCTCAGTGGTAATACCCTGCTGGTATGGACCCAGAAGGGGATGGGCGCTTGCTTTGGAGACTTTATTCTTTGTCTTCTCTATATTGCACGCTAGCGCTAGTAAAGTTCCTTTCCATTAAAGATCTTATGCACCTGGGCCCTTCCTGGTGGTGCAGCGGGTTAAAGCACTGCACCAAGAAGCTGAAGCCACTGCAGCATGAGTTCGATCCCCGCCTGCCCCGGAGGTGACCACATGGTGTGGCAGACCTCTCCTGACCCACCCGCTGCTCCCCTCAGCAGTGTACTTTGTCAGTCTGCCTGTTCTGCTCCCCACTCTGTCTCTGGTGAAGTCTCTCACCACCCTGCACCTCTGGCCTGTATCCCAGTTCTGTATGTATAAAGAAAAAATACATAAATTAAAAAAAAAATCTTATGCACTAGAGTATGTTTTTGTCTTGATGTGACAGATGGCAGAACCTATTTAGCATGGGCAGGTTTGGGGGTTCTGGGGTGCTCCTGCCCCTGCCCTGTAGCAAAACTTCTCCACTTCCTGAGCTTGAAGAACAAGGAGGGGTTTCTGTCCAGATGAAGGTCTGTGGGTGGCACTGTTGCCCATGGGGAGAGGGACCTGATTGTGGGGGGGGGGAGGTGGCTAAGTGGAAAGATCCTTTGGGGGCACAGACAAATTCAACTTGTCACACCCTTTCTCTGAGACTGCAATGTGCAATAATAGCTTCTTGCATAACTAAATATCCGTTTCCCAGTAATGCTGAACATCCTATTTTTTGGCTTTTCTCCCTGTTTCAATTTGTGGTTCTAAAAGTACTCATGAATTAGTGTGGTATTCACAGTAAATGCACACGGCCACTGAGGAGCTGCCTTACAATATTAAACAATTCATATCACTCGAATGTAATAGGGAATGTGATACTAATTCTTCATACTGGCAACAAGATGGGCACGCAACACCAGAATTGTGCGTTGTTTTCATTTTTATAAATGCTTCCAAAATCTGATTTAGTATTTCACCTTTCCTTAAATAATTTTACTTTAAAACTTGAATATGTTGATTATGGAAACTATCATTTTGATTTTCATTTATAATTTCACAGAATAAAAATAATTTTTGAAAATATAAAATAGGTAGGGCTTTCTTTACAAATACTTTCATTTTCATTTTTGATAGAAATACATTTAAATTCCATATACCTAAAGTACAACTGTGCTTTACTTTTGATCTTTTAGATGAAGCAATTTTCAAATGATGTAATTCCTTTTTTTTTTAAAGATTTAATTTATGTATACAAGAACTGGGGTACAGGTTAGAGGTGGGGGGATGAGAGGATTTCACCAGAGACAAAATGGGGAGCAGAACAGGCAGATCCACTGAAATACACTGCTGAGGGGAGCAGCAGGTGGGTCAGCAGAGGTCTGCTATGCCATGTGGGTCACCCCCCTGGCTGGGGATCCAAGTCCTGCTGCAGTGGGTGCCAATAGCTTCATAGTGCTGAGACTTAACCCCTTTGCCACTAGGGAGGTCCCTGTAACTCCTGATTATAACGATGTAATTCATGATTTTGTTAAAGTGAAAATAAAATATATTTTATGACATAAATAAAAACACATTGTCTTATTACTCATCTGAACATTACTAGCCCACCAACAAAGCACCCCACTGTGTAATAATAATTAAATGCAGTCTTTCTGGATATTTTGTCAGTCTCCATCATACAAAACCATAAATTGGCATGAGTATTTTAATTTTTCATTAGGAAGATATTTGTCAAGCTGGGAAACTCAATCTATTTTATATGACAATTTCTTGGTCTGCTTTATATTCTTCATAAACTTACAAAATGACATTGGCTTATGTTTGTATTTTTTTAAAAAAAGATTTATTTATGTTACACATATAAGAGGTGGAGAATAGGCCAGAGGTGCAGGAGTTTGGGGGAAGGGGAGTGGTGAGGAAAGGGTTCACCAGAGACAAAATGGGGCATGTTTATTAACAGGTGGACTGACTGAAATACACTGCTGAGGGGAGCAGCGGGCGACACAGGAGAGGTCTGCCTCGCCATGTGGGTCACCTCCCTGGCCGGGGATCCAACTTGTGCTTCAGATAGCTTGATAGTGCTGAGACTCAACCCCATGCGCCACCAGGCCGCTGTTATATTTGTG